CTGCAGATCCTGCATAATAACCGTTATACGCCTCATTAGTTCACAGAATGTTTTGATATTCGTAGCACTGAACAAGAGGCTATTTAAAATACATTTTAAGGTAAAATACAGTATATTAAAATAATCAAAGTAGTAAATGCTTAAATTAGTTCTTAATTCTTTCTTGAAGTCTGGCTAGACAATATTTTATAAAATTTCAGACCAAGTCCCCAAGTACATGGGCAGCTTTCTAGTGTAGCATCATACCGTCACTTAGGACAGCCTTGGGTTTAAAATCAACAAATGCACTGGCAACTAAATAAAAACAAAATATGGAAAAGTAACAAAACGAAAACATATTAGTATGTTATATACAAAAAATTACATGACTGTAAAGATTATGAATCAAGCCTTATAAGTCAAAAAACCACCAAAACTAAATCTTCCTTTTAATCCTCAATTCACCCCGTCTTGTATGTGCATTTTGACAGACTGATTACATGACGACACGGTATTTTTCCTACGTAACACTTCCTCGATGTCCGTATCCACAACGACTAGGATGACAACACTTGGAGAATGAAGCAGGACTATGCTTAATGGGGCTGCTATCTGCAGAACCAGGTTTCACTTCTTGCAGATGCCAGATCTAAAGTGAAGGCAAGGGAAGAGAAAAGACAACCTAGTGATTGAGGCTCCTGAATGTCACCTTAGAGAATTACATTACCCTGTGACTCTGCCCCACAGCTTCTGCTTGATTCTAGACAATTCCACATATACGAATTCCTTAATTTCTCTCCACACAGAGAGAGTTTGAAACAGCACGGGTCTTATATCAAGCAACCCAATTTCAATCAGTGTCCAAGAGATGAAATTCCAGTACCTATCCCTCCAGGTCATAGGTATCAAAATGAAACCAGGCATCCAAAAGTAATTTTTTACAATCAGTATCTATAAAACCTATTAGATTAGAATATCAGTATATGAAAAAATAAATGTATTCTTTTGTAATGTAGCCAGACATTACTGTCTGTGAGAAAATAATCAACACTGAAAAAAATGTGGATTTCAACTGCAAGTGAAAAAGGGGACACAAGAAATACTTTTTCAAGAACATGGATAACAAAGTAGCTGTTCATCTGGGAAACAGGATATATATCCTGTGTTCCAAACACTGTGCACAATACTACACCTTATTTTCTGAAGTGTTTGTACAAAAAAAGAAAAGAAAAAAAAAAGCACAAAAATCACCTTAGAAGAATATTAAAAATGAAGACACTACAGTTTACATAAGAAGCCAGAAAACAAATTCCAGTCTGAGAATATGCAATGTATGCCCCCATTCAGGACACATTAGAAGAAACTGTCACTTGGACTAACACACCAAACAACTGTAATAGCCCGATCTGTTCTCCTGGTGGGAGTCACCTTTGGTGATACAGCCACCAAACCTTCAAATCTCTGAATGTAAAAGCATTTTCAAAAACTCTTAATTGATTATTATCAGGTTTTCAAGAACACTGATTCAAAGGACACCCATCAACCTAAAGTCCACACTTCGGGAGGGATTATTTGCTTTTAAAGAAGCATGAGATGAAAAGGCCAGTGGAACAAGAAAGTTTTCTTCCTTAATGTTATTTTAGGAAACACACAAGCAATTTTTGCAGAAGCCTCCCTGAGAAATATAGTGTGTGGAGTGCGAGACAGACAAAGCCTGGAAAATTCCAGCCCAAATGGTAAAAGCTTGTAGTCAGCAGCGGCTGAAAAAAGAACCTTCCATTTTAAAGCAACCCGACTCACCGCAACACATACAATAAAAAACAGCAAGGTAGTAACTTAGTAACTTACACATTCTCACAGGTATCTTCTCAGGTATAACAAACACTTCCACAGTCACAACTGCAGCTTCACACAAACAACACTGATTTCTAATTAGTGGGGAAAAAAGCAGAAGCATCATTCAGACAAATACACACATTGGGTGCAGAGTGGGGAGACCAAACAACTGAAACAACAAAGAAACCGCTAATGGAGTACATTGAATTATTCCAATATCTTCACAAGGTCTCCATGAGGCATCTGGCAGCTTTTCTTCATCAGTAGTCCATAAACCTGAAATTGTCAGCTCCTTTCACACCATCATATTTTCACTTTTTTTTTCATCCTCCCCTTTCATTTCACCCATTTCTTACTCTAAAATTTCACCCGCTACCCACAAGTCTGCATCCAATTTCAGTAATTCAGGAATTCCTACAGGTGTTACCCAGCTCTTCTAGATCAGGCAGGCAGGTCAGACGTGCACTTTTAAAGGCTTAGGGCATACAGACACATTCACTATTCAGGGTACAAAATGCACCTGTTCCAAAGCAAAAACATGTTATGTGAGTTCCTAGGGTAAGAAGTGTAACAGTTTATGTACCATTTTCTGCCATCATGTGTATCAATTCTTCCTTACACTCCCCTTAGTGGTAGGAAACAGGTTATCATTCTCCTCCCATAATTCCTTTAAAAACAATTAAAAACTAAACCAGAAACTAAAGTGGGGAAAAAAAATTATCAAGGGCCATTTTGCTTTTTTTTTTTCCTTCTTTCATTGCCATATCCCTAAATAAAGCTTTAGGCCCCATGGGTTACTACTACTTACTATGTAGTTCTTTCTAATATGTAGCAGACAAAGTCATACCCTAATTTCTATGCATTTTACTATATCTTTAACCTTCATGATTTAAAGAAAAAAAAAACTTAAACTCCATAATAAATCAGGAAAAAGTCTGGTTCTGTTCTATTTAGGAACATTTTTTAATGACTGCTAAGCTGTGGAAAAAACATACAAAATTCCAATAATTTCCCCCTCAGACTTTCTGAAATGATTCCTAGCAATGTTCTGAATATTAAACATTTAGCATATTCCATATTTACTATGGAAAGTTTTCATCCTTATTTGCTTTTCAGCATGCCAATGGTTTTTCTCTTGTGTGTGTCATTGCCTTGATCCTAATTGCCATCTCCTGTTCTTCAATACTCTATAGCCTTCAACCATTTTGAGATGTTCAGCACTGCTACTCCCATATTCACATGCAAAGTCAAAAAAAATACAAATTAAGAAGTCCACAAACTACCTTCAGATTACCTAAAATACTTTTAACTATTTTGCTATAATACTGTTTTTACTAGGCTTTCCTGATAATGCAGAAATTAGAGCAAGGAAAAAAAAAAAAAAAAGCAGTTAGAGGACTTTCTAAAATCTTTACTTTGAACAAAATTGTATTATAGATGTCATTCTGGATTTACAGCAATTACAAAATGTCTTTGAAGTTAACAATAAGCAATTGACATTTTTAACCAAAATCATATATAAAAAGACACAGAGTTAAAAAGAAGAGGCTGTACAAACATTTTAACTTAAGGAAATTTGTTAGTTTTTGCCTCAAAAGCTAAAGGCATAAGATAGAGCCCTGATTTCTAAGAGAGTGCATTCAGGAACTGAAGGAAGAAAACAAGCCGAAAACATGCCAGTATATTATATTATTCCTTCTCAAAATTTAATCTCACACCATTTCCTTAATAGGTTCTCAAAAGTGTGACTGGATGATAGAAGTGATATCTTTATGATTTTGTGAATAATGGGTTTTATTAGTATTAAGTTAAAGCAAACAGCCAGAACAATACATATGTAACTTCTACTACACACAATATAAAGAATGTAAATTATAACCTCTGAAAAACAAAAGAAAAGGTACTGAAAAAGCCAGCACAGTGGTTATGGACTATTCCATCCCTGATAAGGGGCCGGGTTCTCCGTTTAAAGAAAAGTTGTTGCTTGCTTATCAAAACTGAAATAAGGTGAAAGACATAATCAAGTATAAAGAAAGAGTTAATGGAGTTACATGGACTCTATGAGAACAAACTCTAGATTAGTAAGAAGAAAAAAAAAAAAGATAGTTCACCTAGTAAAAGAGATTACAAGTGGAATTAGGTTTCAATTTTTAGTGGTGAGGGACAATGGGATAAATTACCCAGGATTTTTGTAACAATTCATTTAATAATACACCACTTTCATAACAGAAGTGTTTTACACTTGCACAATGTTAATAACTTTATTATACATGGAAGCCTGTCATAGGCTGATTACACAATAAGACTGCAAACAACCACTGGTACTTTCCTGACACCAGAAAAGTACGTAAGACTGAAACATCACCAAGAGTACATAAAAAACCATCAGCATAAACATCACCCAAATTACATTAAAAAAAACTAATCCAAAAATACATTTGCAAAAAAGTGGTTCAGAGCAGTGCCGCTGCCTTTCAGCAGCTTTGAATGGCCACCAGTATCACTAGCAGGTTTCCGTGGCTCCACAGGCATTAATCAGGATTCACATATAATAAATAATGTACCACAAAATATACATCAAGTAAGGCAATAATTCCAGTGAAAAGTTCTGTTGATAGAAACAAGCCACTCCAGTTCTACTTTTCTAGTTGAGGTCATCACCAGAAGCCTTGGACGGAACTGCAGCCTTGGGCCCTGCAAGCAGGAACGGCTGCAAACCCCGGTACCTGTTGAGAGCCCCAGTGACACCACTGGTACGCTGCTGGGCGCGGGGGTCCACGGTAGCTTATCCTGATGCAGGACAGGGCCCTTCATACGTATAGTTGGGAGTATATTATTTGTCATCATACATGGAAACCTCGACATAATTCTAAAACGTGGGTCATTGTTCATAACCTGATGTTGTAAGACATCAGAAAGTACATGAGATATGCACTTTCTGGAATGCAAATCTTTTTAAATGCTAGCTATTAAGTTGGGGTGAGAGAGTGAGTAGCGAAGGAGGGGAAGGTGTAAATTAAGGGGCAAAAAAACCCCAAGATCAAGCCCAGAGGAATTGAGAGCATAATAAAAGAGAGGGAACCTCATACACTACAAGAACGTGAAAACAGGAAGAGCAAGAGATCCCCTATTTTTTTGAACCATGGATAATAAATAACGTATCCCAAAAGCATATCTGGATTACGACTGTAGTTTCAGGCTGGGGTTCTAATGATATGAATGAGACACGCACGTTTTGTTCTCTTGATTTGTGTCAACAGAATCTCTTTATGGAATTATAGTCTTACACAGGAGTTCTGGGGACATTATTGTTCATATTAAAGCTACCATTCTGGGCTCCTAGTACAGACTCAAGCATATTTGATCCACCTGCCTGGAATGAGCACCACCTGGGAGAACAGGAGTACTTTAAAAACAACAAGATTTAGGTAGCAAAATTCTTTCAGATCAGCCCAGACATAAGAGACAGCAACTTGAAATGTCATAGATCCCTTCCTCAAAAAGCTGAGATATATTTGTCCGTATCTGTAAATCGGAAGTTCCAATACACTAGTGGTGCATAGAATTCCCATGCTTCGTTACACTTTCCTGAGAGTAAAGTAATTATAATAAACCTTAGTCCTAGGAACAAAGTTAATTTTTTGCATTTTAAACTTTTGGGCTATTCCCTGACAATCTATATAATGTAAATTTGATTGCTAAACATCGTCACTTGAACAAAAACACTATTTTAATCTATTGATTTTTGATTAAAAACCATAATAAACAGATCTAAAAAAAAAAATCACACTAACAAAATAAACTAAATATGAAAAGTTGCATTGAAAGGGCATGTTACATTATTCTCAATGGGACCGTGTAGAAACATTCCAATGGCAGTGTTGTCAAAGTAAAACAAAATTACATTAAGAAGACCCCACAGCCCAGTCACAGTTGGGACCTTACCTGTAACTCTGGCTGGTTGGGGTTTTTACTTGTGTACTACATGGCTCACTTACGTCAGACATCATATTTGTATACCCTGAGAAATCTGAAACCGAAGTCCTTACTCTATGGTCCACTTCTCCATTAGAGTTAGTGATAAAAGTCATTGGCACCCTGCTGCCCGACTTAAACTGAGAACCAAACGCTTGTGCAAAGTTCTCGATCTGGTAGGTTGCTCTAGGCTCTATGTCCTTTTGAGGATCTATCTGGCTAGTTAACTCCTGAGACGGGATCTGAAAGCTCGTTGAGGATTCTAAGTTTTTCTGTTCCTTCTGGCCAGTCAGTTTCTGAGATGTTGACTGGTAGTTAGATGAAGTCTCTAAGTTTTTCTGCGGATCGATGAGATCATCCAGCTCCTGAGAAGGAGTCAACTGTTGATGCGAAGCCTCCAAAGCAGACAAATAAAAGCCTGGTTGAGATCCAAGCAACATCCCAAACGGAGGTTTTGGCAACGCAGTTGGCAATACTGAGGTAACGGATTGGCTGAAGCCACACTCAAGTGGAGATGTAGTGTATATCTGTTTGTCTTGAAACAGAGTGTGGTTATGGAAAGTTGAAGACAAGCTAACAAATTGAAAACTGGGTCCAAAAGCAAAACCAGTGCTGTTGGTTGTTCTTTCAAAGGCTTGTTGGAGGTATTTGGAGTATTCTTGCAACATGCTTGCCTTATCATTTGAAACTGTTTGAGAGTTAGGGCTCAAGTTTTCCTCCTGAACCATCTCCGAATGTTCTCCTGAGGTGTGCAAGTCCACACGCTGTTCAGTTATACTGAAAGGATCTTCCTTCTGGCCTTCTGATTTATGAGAGTACTGGTCCAATAGGCTCTGTAAGACTTCATCGGGAATACCAGATTTATCATGGCAAGACTTTATTTCACTATTTAAAGATGCTGAATCAATAAGAGACAATGGAGCTTCATTATCCATAACACTAACACCTGCAGACTGGATGACGGACTGCTGGGAAGTCATGTGTCCGACATTAATTGAAAAGGCACTGTTACTGCTTGCAGTTTGTAGGTATCTTCTTTTCTTTGAGAACTGCATGGCATCATCATAATTGCTACTTATTTGACCTGGTTTGCCACCTGTACTTTGGAGAAGGCCAATAGTTTCTACACCAGTATTGGCTACCAGGCCTAGAGAGCCACTCTGTTTCCCAGACAGTGGTTTTTGCCCCAGAATATCTGGTAGTGGTGATATAAAATTAAGGTAATTTTTGTCTGCCTGTTTTCTGCTTCCTTTTTTCAAGACCAATTTTGGCACCTTTTTCTGAAGTTCATCTACGCCTGTGCCAACTAGACCACCACTGGAAGACACAATAGGAATATCCACTGCATAATTTGGCATGGCCACATTACTTGTAACTTGAGGTTCGGTTACTTTGCTGCTACATTTATTTCCTTTGCTTTCAGTGGATATACTTTTTGTTTTACTTTTTCTCCTTGAGGAACTTGTATTTCCCTGAGACAACGCAGCCAAGCTACCCATGTTATTTGATGACCCGGGCTCCATTCCAGCACCTGCTTTACCTATGGCTTCACCACACGTTCTTCTGTGCTTCAACAGTCTATCAGTCCTGGAAAAATACTGCTGGCAAGTATCACATTTGTATGGCTTTTCTCCGCTATGCGTCCTCTTGTGTCTTTCCATGTGGTACTTCTGGATGAACTTCATGCTACACTGGTCGCACCCAAAAGGCTTCTCCCTACTGTGGATCTTCTCGTGCCTCTGCAGCAAGTACTTCTGGATGAAACCCATGCTGCACTGGCTGCACTGGAAAGGCCTCTCCCCGGTGTGAATGAGCACATGTCTGCGCAAGTGATAGGAGCTCCTGAAGGCAGCGCTGCAGTGTTCGCAGACGTGAGGTTTCTGGCTGGAGGACGCGATGGCACCTTCCCCATCTCCCACCAGGGGGGGTTTGGATGAAGCACTTGGCTTCCGCTTGGCTTTGATTCCCTGAGTTTCTGGCTTTGGCCTCTTTGCCTTCTTGACCTGGGCATCGTGCTTTGGCTCACCCGAGCTCCCAGGGGCGCCCTCGCCTCTGCCACTCAGCAGCAGGTCTCGGTGGGAATGCTGGTGCAGATGGTGAAGAAGGCTGAGGTCCTGGATCACGCTCTGGCCCGGTCCTTCCCCACCGCCGCTCCCCAGGCCGGGGGGCCGCTCCTCCGCCGCTCCCCCGAAGAGCCCCCCGTAGTGGTGATGGTGCTGCGGCTGCTCCTCCTCCTCCTGCTCGCTCGGCTTCTCTTGCTTGATGCTCACCAGGGACTGCAGAAAGCCCCAGGGGCTCCTCTGCGCGGAGGAGGGCGCGGAGGGGAAAGCCCCAGCCGGCTCCTTCTTGAAAGTCATGTCCTGAGGGGGAGG